GCGGGGGGTCGGAGGTCGAAGAGGACCGATAAAGTCCATCGAGATGGACTGCCAAGGACCCTCAGGGATAGGAAGAGGCTGGAGCAAACCATAAGGTASGTRGTTCGCACTGTTCACCTCCTGACAGGTGGGACACTCTGCGACGTAGTCSTTCACAAATTCCTTGCGCTTCGGCCAGACGTACAGGCGGCTCACACGAGCCAACGTCTTGTGGAAGCCCATATGACCGGCAGCTGCCTGGTCATGGAACTCTGCTACTGCTYGGACACGTAGCTGTCCAGTGGAGGGAACACAAATACGGGGCTCTCTGGTGCCCTGTGAACCGTGCCAGTACACAAGACCGTTGTCCCCGAGAGAGTAGTTCGGGACGTTCTTGCCACTCCGAAGGGTCGCGTGGATGTCGCGATAGTCGGGGCAGTGGTGGAACTGAGTGCGAAACTCGTCGATCACCGAGTGGTGGACGGTGCTGACCGAGATGGAAGAGAGTTGGATGTGCTCCTGGTCGTGGTCAGGGCGCCGGGATAGGGCATCGACGACCCGATTAGTCTCACCCTTGATGTGCTCAGTGGTGAAACTAAACTCGGATAGGTCGCGCCACCAGCGAGCCTGTCGAGGAGTGAGCTTCGGCTTTGTCAGAAAAGCCTGGACAACAGAGTTGTCCGTGAACCCGTGAATGGTGCCCCGTGCACGTAGTGACGCCAATGCCGAGCGGCATAAACTACTGCGAGAACCTCACGTTCATCAGCAGTGTAGTTTATCTCGGCGGGCAGGAGCTGACGGGAGTAGAAGGCTATCGGACAATCACCTGAGCGAGACTCGATAGTGCCGTCCTCGGCGATGGTAGGAAAATAGTCAATAGGAGGCTCGTCAGTAGTTGGACGAGTAGGCGTCAGTCGGGAAGCAGTGGTAGGGGTAGGTGGTGGGAAGCGAGGGATACGAGGATGAGAGGAATCAGGAGATGAGGGGAAGACCTGAGAAAGCACTGCTCCTACAGCGAAGTCTGACGCATCGGCGGTAAGGATAAAAGGGCGGTCAAAATCGGGTAGGTAAAGAACCGGTGCGCATGTCACCGCCTTCTTGAGGGCGTGGAAGGCGTCCTCGTGGAGGGGTGTCCAAGCCCAGGGCGGGTTCTTCCGGAGGAGGGTGGAGGTAAGGACGTAGGAATACCTAGCGTATCCCCGGATAAAGTTACTATAGTAGTTGGTCAGGCCTAGGAAGCTGCGAAGCTGCTTGGCGGATGTGGGAGCGGGCCACTCCGCAATAGCAGTGATCTTCGCGTCGTCCATTTGGAGACCCTGGTCAGACACGTAGTGTCCTAAGAAATCCACTTTGTGCAGGGCAAAACGGCACTTGCTTAGCTTGGCGTAGAAGCCATGTCTGCGCAAGCGGTCAAGGATGTCGCGGAGGTGTCTGAGGTGCTCCTCAAGGGTACGACTATAGACCAGGATATCGTCGAGGTAGACGAGAACGTACTGCTCCAGGATGTCCCTGAAGATGTCGTTCATCGCCCTCTGGAAGGTAGCGGGTGCGTTGGTGAGGCCGAATGGCATCACAGTGAATTCGTAGTGGCCGAATCACGATCGGAATGCGGTCTTCGGCTGGTCGGTTGCAGCGACGTGGATCTGATGGTAACCGCTACGAAGATCAATCTTCGTAAAGAAGCGGTTGCCTGCTAGGCGGTCGAACAGCTCATCGGAACGAGGCATGGGGTAGCTGTTCTTAACCGTGTAGTGGTTAAGGCCGCGGTAGTCGATGCAGAGACGAAGAGTTCCATCCATTTTGCGAGCACAGAGGACGGGTGCACCCCACGGGGAGTTGCTGGGTTTAATGAAACCCAGTCTCAGGAGCTCCTCAAGCAGACGCTTGAGTTCGGTGGCCTCGGGGATCGAGAGTCTGTAGGGTGCCTGGTGGTGAACACGATAGTCAGGCACGAGCAGAATGGAGTGCTCGACGTCACGCATCGGTGGGATGCCGGCGTACGAGAACGACGATGGGAAAACGTCGTGGTACTCTCGGATGAGGTCACGAACTGCGGGCTCCAAGTCAGCCGTATATCGTGCGAGTTCCTCAGCGTCAGCGTCAGCGCGCGACGGGGGGGTGGACTCGACGGACGGCGGAGGGGCGGAAGTAGAGATGGGAGCCATGGAGATAGAGGGAGGATCTGGCTCCAGAGGGATGAGCTCGACGTCGGGACAGGGTGGATCATAGTGTAAGAGATCCGTGACGTCCACCATAAAGAAGGTGACGTCGTCCTGTCGAATGAAGTGAGCGAACTGCCGAGGCGAGGTGACAGTGATAGAGGGAGATGGTGTGGGCACTGAAGGCTCCGGGGGAGGAGGATCGGGGC